ACACTGCATAATATTCAGTGGTATTTTTCAGCTCATCTCAATCAACTTTATGTGACACTGTCACTACAAACCTTCCAAAAACCTACTGGTCAGACTGCTCCACACTAATATTTGGGACACAGTGTTGTTTTTTCACTGCTATGCCAGCTGGTGTGACTTAGTTTCCAGGCTAGCATTTGATGATGACTTTGTCTTTAATTCTGCTTCCAAAATTGGTGTGTTAAAAACTATAGAGGCACACCACAGATGGCCTTACAGTATGTTAGGTAAAAACTGCAGATACTAAAATGTGTGCAGCCCTTGACCTCCCAGTAGGTGGTCTCTCCCACTCTGCCCCATCCAGCAGGGGGGAGGGGACGTGGAGATCAACACCATAAGGTCATTCTGCCCTGCATAGCTGTGACAACTGACAGCTGAATTTAAACCTAAAACAGTGTGTGCTTCTTATCACTACCACTCACTGTAACCCAGTGAGTTAGACAAAACTGATTGAGTCAGACCAATTCTATCCACATTAGTGCTATGACTTAGCTCAGTCTACCAGCTGACCCGGTGCCTCCCTGGGAGTACTTACAGAGCTCTTTGAAGCTGATCCAAGACTGTGTCCAGCCATCTCTGGCTGTGAGAAGTTAGTATGTGAGGCTTTCTACCTGCTGTGAGGGGACATCTGCAGGCAGTCAGACAATATGTTGGGGACACTTAGTAGTGACTTCTGCTCGGGTGGTGTATGTTCAGGCAGTATAATTGTTATACTGTCAGCCGGTTACTGAAAAAAGTATAGTTTCTACACAACCAACAAGTTCGTGGTGTTTAGTTCAGATGAGGAACCCTCCCTAACTGAGAGGGAGCCTGTGTTCTCTTTCAGGCGTCACTCGGTATTTCTCTATGGGAAATACCATCTGGTGTGACCTGAGTGGAAGATCCACTACCAATATGTCTGTATCAGACGGACCTATCACTTCAAGGACACACAGTCTTCTACACCTCCCTTAATAACCCTTGGCCCAAGACCAGGCATTATTGCTTTCTTTCCTGTGCAGATCACTAGAGCTCCTCAGTGGTCCTGAACCATTGTAATTTTTTGTTTTTGTTTCAGGATTAATTATTACTTTGTAATTACATTTTTGTTTTGTGACGATATTTTTCCGGTAAGCTGGTGTCAAATTGTTTAAAACTTGAACTTTATCAAGCTAGCACATTAAGTAAACTTGTGCTCGTGTAGCTATTTGCTTGCTAACCTGAGCATTAGTATTTATGGCTTCTACTGGTGCCAATCATGGTGGTAGCTGGTGCATTACCTTGGCCTCCAGTAACACTGTGAGGAATCTTGTTTCTGACCAGGATATGTCCTTCAATGTGCGTATTAAACAGATATGTAGGGCTGATTTCTTCCATTTATGCAATATCTCTTAAATTAGAAATGTCCTGTCGTGATGCTGAAAAACTAGTTCATGCATTTGTTAATTCTAGGCTGGACTACTGTAATTCATTATTATTAGGATGTCCTAAAAACTCCCTGAAAAGCTTTCAGTTGATCCCAACTGATGCCGCAAGAGTACTGACAGGGACTAGAAAGAGAATACTGGCTTCTCTTTATTGTGTATCTGCCTTCCAGGGGAAAAAAAATGCTGGCTCATAGGTCGACTCAGGAATTGTGGTGATTTCCAGACTCTCAGCACGTACCAGTCAAAGAAAATCCCCGATCACTCGGGGGAAGATTGAGTGAGATGCTGTGTCCTTGAAGTGATTGGTCTGTCTTTGAAAGATGTGGTGGTAGTTTAGTGTCCATGACTGGTCACACCAGAAGGTGCTTACTATAGTGAGATACCTATCTTGATTGTCAGAGAACTGGGGTTACCCAGGTAAACAAGTGCTATTAGGCCTCATTCACCACCACTGTTATCTTACCATTGAATCAGAATTATTCTACATCCATAGATGCATTCTTGTTATCTGCATGCTGTCACCCAACTATCTCACTACACAGAAACATCTTAAGCTTTATGGAGAATGCAGTGATGGATTTGTAAAAGAAATCTTGAAAAAAAAAAAAGAAGAGAAAGAAAATGAAACAACATGTCTGTGAAGGTTCTCAGTCATCCAGGTCATCGTAGTCTAAGGAGTGTGGAAAGAAAAGCGTCTGGACTTCTTTAAGTTTCCTTGAAGACGTTGCGCCTCTCATCCACTCTTCAGTTCTGAGAGCATTGGACTCTCCACCAATGCTCTCAGATGCCTCAGACACTTTTCTTTCCAAGCTCCTTAGACCAAAATGAAACAACAGTGTCCAAATTCAAAGACAGAAAAAGTACAGTTTTCTAAAGTGCTTCCTTTGTCAATGATGGCGGTTTAAAGAAAAATAAAGTGGTGAATCTTGCATCTACAGGGAATAGGAGTAGTTTTTTGAGTGCTTTTGAGTGCTTTTTCTGTTTATGAATGCTGTAATTTGGCAACTTAATCAAAAATTATAATGTGCTTTGCATTTTTTCTGCTTTATTGTAAAACAGTAACTTTGAAAATTCATGGTTAACAACAGTAATTATATTTTAGCATTTAAAAATATCATTTTGGTTAAAGAGCTTGTACTTGCTGGTGGATTAATCATTATGGAAATATTAACAAATGATTTTGGTAATTAGCAATGCTGGTAATTTATAGTAGCTGTGGGATAAAACTCACACTGGGTTGTAGTTTAATACATTTCTTAAGCACTGTAGTTTAAATTTCTGTGCTTGTGTGTACACATGATCTAAGGTATTTCTGAATTTCTTCACAGAGTACAAACAGTTTTAAAGCACAGATTTGAATTCTAAATTAATCATTATTAAGAACAGATTTGCAAGAAACCCATTGAGGTCATTGCTATGGAGTGCACCATCACAATGTCAGTAAACTATTAAGACAACGAAGAGCAAGTGTTAGCCATGAGTAGTAACCAAAGAAGGTTTTGCTAAACTTTGTTTCAGTGTAGTGTAAAAATTGTCACAGTGTAGCTCCTCTGGTCCAGCTAAAGGCAGGGAGTTGATGGTGTTAAACCGCCCAGCGCACACCCACACATCGTCACACATCTCTCCTTGCGTCTTTTTCTCTTCATCTTCCTCCCCTCCCTCCTCTTTTGGCAGAATCTGGTCACCAGCTCAGTTGCGTTGCCACGGCAACAACAGCCTCCTCCAGCACCTGCTTTCCCCCTCTTCCTTTCATCCCTCTGTCATTCAGCCCGCCCTAGTCAACCTCGCCCTCTCCTCTTCGTCCTCCTCTCCCTCTCTCTGTTACTGTGATGGCCCTCTGTCAGCCCCTGTTTACCAGTGGGGAAACCCCTTCCTTTGGAGGTAAGACCCACCCTGCGTGTCATCTCATAACTGTTTGGTCTTTTGGGGTGTGTGTTGTGTTCTCCTTCTTTTTTTGTCCCCATTACTCAGTTTGCCGACCTTTTGTTGGTGTTATAGCTGACAGACCGCTGAGAGCATCCAGCAAACGGAACTAATGAGCTGTGTTCATCTGGTGACACAAGAAAGCACTTACAACACTCTTTTGCTGTTTTTAAAGAGCAACTCACTTTGTTTAGCAGCTTCCATTTGCAGGGTTGTTTGTTTGATCGTTTATAGCTTCTTAATTTTAGTTTAAATCCATCTTTTATGTTGGAAAACAAAAACACTCACACAAACACAACAACACACAATCTTCTGCATTGAATTTGACTTTATGAAATAACCAGACTTGCAAATGCGGTTGACCGCTGGAATTTAAATAAATGAAATCACCTCATCAATATTATAGTTATTGTTAGATATAGAATATTATTATACAAAAATGATAAATGGATTAGGACTTTTATAGCGCTTTTTCACGCTACCTGACCACTCAAAGCACTTTGAACATTCATCCTTATACACCCTTTCATGCAACTACTTTTTTCTACGTAAGTGTTTTCTTATCGAACATTCTCAGATGAACGAGCAGGATAGAGAGCAGCCCAAAGATATTTGGCATGCAGACTGCAGCAGCCAGGGATCGAACCACCAACCTTCTGACTAGTAGATGACTTGCTCTACCTCCTGAGGTGCACATAACCCGAGTAAATGGAAAAAGATCATTTCTTTTTTTTTTAAGGAAAACAGTTTAGCAGTCCAAAGTGTTTTCTTTCTCCAAAGTTCTCCGATCACACACTGAGATAAAGCAAACTTACCTTGCATTTGCTGAAAAGTATTGGGCCATTTTTCTCTCTACATGCTCTGACGACAGGGTGACTATTCTCAGTCAATACTCCTAAGGTTGTTTTCCCATATCATATCTAGATTTCTTTTGCAATCAGAGGAGTTGTCTTCTGCTGGCCATTAGGAAGAATACTTGATTGATCTTTGTTCAGACTTCTGCTCAACTAGATCGAACCGTCAACGTACATGTAACACAGAGACGAGTTTGGGAGAAACACTCATGGTCTTGCCGGGCAATGCTAAAGGGATGAAAACCATTGAATAAACAACATGGCAGAATTGAAAAATAGATATTATATCACCCATACTCATTGGTTGGGCAGGTCATCTACTGTACCACCCAGAACGTCGGTGATTGATCTCCAGCTTTGCCTGTCCATGTATTGAAGTAACCTTGGGCAAGATACTGAACCGAAAGCTGCTCCTGATGTGTTGAAGTGTGTACCTACACAAGTGTTTAGGTATAAATCAAAGTTTTGCATGAATGTGTGTGTGATTTAATCATTTATAGCTTCATGATTTTAGTATAACTGGGTAAATGAGACTTGTAGCAGAAAATGCTTTGAGTGCTTAAATTAAGTAGAAAGTGTTTCTTTTCTGCATCAGTTCTGTATTGGTTGCATTCAGATATCTGTCTGTGAGCATCTGTGACCTGATGACAAGTGTGTCTCAGCTGAAACTGAAGTCAGCTGAGCTCCACTTAGAAACACAGGGGTTAGAAGACAGAAGGGAGGAGGCAGCACTGTGCAGCGAGAAAGGATCAGAATAGGGAGAATAAGAAGAGGGAAGGCGGGAGGAGAGACACTAACAGCTCTCACACGCATTTGATGTTGCCGGTGTGGCAGGTGGAAGCCAGCGTCTGTTCGTTAACCGCGTCCTCTGCCGAGTGTCGCCGTGTCAGAGCAATGATTGCACTGCACTAGTGTTAGCATGTCTGAGTCCTTCTGGACGGTGCTCTCCAATTTCTCGCTGCCTGAGAGAAGCATGCTGCGGCGCTCCAAAAGGTACAAACACATCCTTTCTCTTTCATTTCTTGTAGCCTCCATTATCTTACCTTCATTGAGTTTTTTTCCCTCTTTCATATATGCCTTTTTTATTTTCATGCCACTGCCTGTGTTTTGCTCCGTTTTCCTCTCTTTTATCGTTCCTCTTCCCTGCATGTCTTAATGCTCAGCAGGAGCAGCTCCAACATGAAGGTCAGCTAACTGGATGTGTGTTTTGATGTATGAACAGGGTGCTTTTTGAGTATAAGTTATTGTCATTTGGTGCTGGCATCTGCAGTGTGCACGTTTGTTGTCAAATTCTTTTTTTATCCTATGCTCTCGATATGACCATATTTACAGTGACATACCTAAGTGTGATTTGACAACGAGCATCGTGTTCCTTCGTCTGTCGTTCTCTCAGTTGACCCCTCTTCTTCTTCTCTGCTCTCTCCTCTCTGTCAGTCAAAGCAGAAGTAGCTTCTCCAACAGGAACAAGAGGGAGAGACAGGGCTGTACTTATCACTTTGAAGCAGCAATTTTCTTTGCTCCCTGTAATAACAGGGGTAGCAGCTGACACACACACACACACACACACACACACACACACACACACACACACACACACACTCACTCACACACACACACGTGTCACCATGTCCTGTGGTGTGTTGCTCTTTTGTTACCTCCAGAGCAGTGTTTTTAAGGGCGGAATGCTTGTGAAGTGAGACTCCTGCATAGCAACAGGCTCTGTCAGTTTTCGGAGTGGATACAGTCGACAGATGACGTTAAGCTGTAATCAGGCATAACATTCATCATTTGCACTGATTGAAGGCGATCGGAAGGTTTTAAAATAAACTGTGTTCTTTTTTTGTAGCAGCGTTTATCACATTCGGATCAGAAGCATAATACATTTTACTTTTCCATCATTTACAGAAATGTCTACGTACAGATTATTTTAAGCTCTCTAAGTTAGCCGTATAGTTTTAACATAATTTCAAATGCAAAATGGTTCTATTTTTGCATTATTGTTTCATTAGCCTGCGCTTAAAACAAAAGTGTGCTTCTTTTGTCAGTTTTAGACTTCAAAAGATTGTAGCTCCACTGTTCTTTGATATCATTTCCTCTTTTATACTTGCTATTTGACATTAAATTGGCACAATGGGAACTGCAGTCAGCTAAAATTGCCTGATAATGTGTAGGTCCATCTTGTGCCAGCAAAACATGGCACAGACACCAGATCCCTGGGCTGTCCTCTGCAGCTGAACCTTCAGGTCTTCTACTGGATTGACCAGTGAAGCTGTGCTGGCTGTGCAAAACTAACCTATAGGAACTAGGGATGGTGATTTAAGGTGAAAATACTATTTCATATTCTCTGAGAAATGCTGTTAGTGTCCACTGTGTATATAGTTGTTTTTAGGTTTACTATGACATGGAAAACTACAGACAACCATCTGCTAGCAAGCAAATTAATCATCTGGAGATTTTTGGTCCAGCAGTTTCTTTGCAACCAATGTCACCCAGTGACTACCAGCAACCTTCAGGAACCACCAACCACATTTTCCCCTAGCAACCGGTGCTTTGTATCCTGTTCAATATGGCAGCTCTTGGGCAAGGTTTTTTTAATTATTATATTTTTGCCTTTCGTGGATAGTGGTACAGTGGAGAGAGTGAGCGAGGGGGAAGACAAAAGGGCCACAGGTTGAACTCAAACCTGGGTCGCCTGCTCACCCAGTGAGCTAAACTGCCACCTGCTCTTGGGCAATGTGCACATGACATCAAAACCAAAATAGTGCAATAGTTAAGACCTGCCACTAAGTTAATAAATGACTGAATGAACCATTTGACTTGTGTTGTAATTTACTGACTGTTTGAATAGGAACCCCAGAAACACTGGCTGCTTTGTGTTTCATAGTTTCTTTATCTTTACAGTGTTGGTGACGGTGACAGTGATCTAGATGAGTACCTTTAATTTTTCTGATGCCACTCTAATAAAGGTGCTTTATAAAAAAACGTTTCCTCTAAAAACCCTTTTCATTTAAAAGAAAACAAAAGTTTGATGCAACGTTTTTTGTTAGAAACTGTTCACAGTGACACAAGAACAATGCAGAGTTGAATCCTTTCTCATTTGTTAGATCATTAACCCTAAAGCTCTTGCCGCAGGAGCATACACACATGTCGCCACACAGTCTGTTATCACTTTGATTTCCTGTGGTGGCTGTAACCCGCAGACAAAGTTATTGTGTGGGCTGTGGGAAATGAGTTTCGCTATAGATCTTATCCACATAAACTTACCTTCTGTCTGTTTAGTGTGTGTGTGTGTGTGTGTGTGTGTGTGTGTGTGGGTACATCTGCCAGTGCAGCTGTTTGTTAGTCTGTCAGCCATGTCAAAAACCTGTATGTCTACTTCTATAACTGTGCCTTTTGTGTGTTATAGTGAAAAAGTTTATTGGATCTCAAGGTTTTTGTCATTTTAGAGACATAAAGTAAGCAGACGTGTGTTCAAACATTTACAGATTTGGGAAAACAAAGTGGTGGGCATGTCATAAATCCCCTAAACTCATATTTAAGAAACAAACAAATAAGCCTTTTTTTTCTGTTGCTGTAAATGATATCTTTGAATCACTTTCCACCATACGATTAAATGGGCAGGTGGATCAACTTGGATAAAAACTACTAAGAGAAAAAAAGGCCATTCTAGCTGTGGTAATGTTGACTGAAGATTCAGCCATAAATCCTTCTTCAGCCAGAGAAGCAATTCAGTCTTGGTGCTGTTACCTCACAGCCTGCTGCTTTGATGATACCAGGTACCCAAAAGCTTACTTATCTACCCACACATACAAACGTCACACACAGAACCACACACACATGGATACACACACTCAGACAGTGTGTCTAGCCTTCAGTCAGTTCTGCATAATGGATGCATGTTTCCCAGCAGGGATCCAAAATGCCTGCAGGAGAAAGAAGGAAGGTAGGTTGGTAGTCTCGGTACTGAAGTTACATTTGTCTATGTGAGTCAGAAATAAACATACAGGAAGCTAATGTTGACAGTGGTTCAACCAACAGCAACTTACTGGAGTTGCTCTTGATTTTTAACTGTACCAGCTTTGTATCCTTTGCGCCTTTGTACCA